GCATTTTTCGCAAAAGCAATATTCTTTTAAAAATTATTCATACTCTATATTTTGTTTTAACTTTGAGTTTATCTTTCATTTAAATTATTTATTTATTAAAAAGAGTTATATTTCAATTTTTTTTAATTTTATGATTAATTTTATTCTATAATGGCAGAATTTTATATAGGAAATTAATTTATATTATTAATAGCTTAGATTTATTACAAAGCTCCAATTTTATCGAAAATTTTTAATTTATTTAGTATATTAATTTAAGCAGTACTGGATTTATGTTTTATCTTTTTTATGTACGAATTAATTTTATCAATATCACAATCTAAACCTATAGATATTTCCTAAAAATTATTATAATTTTATAGTATATAATCTCTCGTAAGTGCATCATTTTTATAATTAGAGTTTTTCGCAGAAGCATTTTTTCCAAAAATATTTTTAAAAGAAGATAGTTTATATTCATGGACTGATTTTTATAGATAATATTCTTCAAATTAGCAGAAAAGCATAATTTAAGCCAATTCATAAAAAAACTAAGTTTCTTCTAAATAAAACCAAAGGTTTTGGTTATAATCTTTTCTCAGTAAAGGCAAAGAGCCTTACATTAAAATTAAATTTAAAAAAAAGTTTGGAACATAACAAAAATAGATAAAATGTTAAAATGTAAAAAGGAAATTATACTCAATTAAATAATAGAAAGAAGAATTTAAATCTTTTATTAATAAATATTCAATATTCATTAATACATGGTTTATATTTACACATTAAGAATTAATCTATAAACTTTTATACAAACAAGTAACTTTATTATATATATATATATATATAAATATAAATTAAATAAATAAATATATATATATAAGTATTTATTTTATATTTATTTTTATATTTTTTGATTATCTATTTTACAAAATAATTCTTAATAATTATTATTTATTCTTAATAATAGTCTATAATTTCTTGGGTCAGTCAACATTAGTAGAGTTTTAAATGATCGTAAATACATGATATTTACTTATTATTCATCATAAATTATTAAAGCTTCTTTTTTTAATTCATTTTTATTTATGGTATAGGAGGTGAATAATGATTTTATTATATTATTTCTTTTTGATTTAAAATCCACTATTTTTATATATTAAACATATTTATAAAAAAAAATACATCTGGAGAGCATAAATATATAGTTGGGCTAACTATAAAAGATAAAATCAGTTCTAAATTTGTATCAATTTTAAAAAAGTCAGTTGTTAAGCAATTTTAAGTAATTTTTTTTAAATTTTAAAATTAAGGAACTTCCTCAATAGCAAGCCAATCCTCTAAATAATCGATTGCGTCTTTCTGATTTCTTTTTGCAGTATTATTTGATAAATTTACTTCGAAATCTTATATATCTTCATCTATTTGAATACTTTCATCTTCTCCATTTGTATATATTTAATCTAATTATTCATCTATTTAATTGTTTTTTTATTTCTTGCTTTTTTAAATTAAAACTTTTTTATTATTTCATTTTTTTTTAAAAATAAAAAAAAAAAAAAAATAACTTTCTTCTATTTCATTTATTATATCGTGATTTTATTTTAATAAAATCAATTATTATTTAAATTAATAAAATTAAATACATGCTTCTTACATTAGTTATGCATTATCAGTATTTTAAATAAAACTTTTATAGAAAAAAGATATTTTTTCACTAAATAATTCATTTTATTAATATCTTTCCTTTTAAAAATAATAAATATATATATATATATATTTAAAAAATAACAAAAAACTTACTATTATAATTAATACAATTTATTTTATATATTATAATGTATATTTCTTTATCTTTATTATATTTTGAACTATATGTTAGGGTAGATTAAGTTTTTAAAATTATTAAGATTTCAAAAGATTAGATTTGTTGCTTTTTATTTGACTACTCACATCTTTTTATTCATTAATATTACTATTATTTTATTTTATATCCCTTTTTTAATTGATTAACTTTTTTTTTTTTTTAATAAAATTACTATTTTAAGGCTGTTGATATAATTTAACTTATATTTATATCACTTATTTAACTTATTTAAATACCTCCATATAAAAATTATTCAATAAATATTTGATTTTGATTAAATTTTTCAATTAATGTTTCTATTATTAAGGTAATCTTAATAAATAAATAGTAATTCCAATTTTTTTTTTTTTAAATGAAAAATAATATACCACAGGCTCAAAAGAAATTATATTTAAAAATAAATATTTATATATATCATTTTGGGCTAAAATTATACTATTTTATTTTGAAAAAGGTAAAATATCTGTTATTTATTTTAATCCTTTTTATATTAATATAATTCTTTTTTATTCATCATTTTCAAGCATCTATTTTTAATTAAAATAATATTTTTTGTGTATTTTTGTATTTAAAATACAGCTTGTTAGAAACATTGAATAAAAGGATAATCCATATATATTTTATGTGAAAATAAGTTTATAATTATTATTATAATTAAATATAAAATTAATCTAAATTATTGTTATTGTAATATAAATATTATATAATTAGTTGAAAAATATAATTCAACAAAAAATAATTAAAATGAAGAAAAAAAATATATATAAAAAAAAATTAAAAATGATCTTTATAAAAAATAAGATATAATATTATATCTTTCTCATTAATAATTTAATAATTTAAATTAAAAATTTATATTAAATGTTATTATTTATTTAAATATAAAAAAATTTTTTGTTTCCAATATTAAAATTATTTTATTAATTTCAAATATTTGAGGATATTTACATACAAATTTATATATTTAAATTTAACATAAATTACCCTTAAAAAATTAATAAATAAAATATATATAATAAGATATATTAAAAAATAAAAATAGTTATATAAATAAAAAATTATAAATAAAATATTATATTGTTGTTTTTAATATGAAATTAAAATATAAATATAATTAAATTAAAATAAAGTTATTATATAATATTTTTAATTATTACTATTATAAATATAAAATATTATTTTTATATTATTTTATATTTTTATACTTATATTTTATTTTATTTCAAATTTATTTTTCATATTTTTTCTAATTTGGCTTTTTAGATTATAGGATTTGCATTTTTTAATATTTCTTTTCCTAATTATTAAAAATCAAAATTACATTAATGTATCTCAGGCATTCTATGTTTATTACAATAAATATATCCACATTTACATTTTATACCTAAAATTCCAATTTTTTATTACATTTCCAACATTTAGATATATCATTCTATAAATAATTATAATATATATATATATATATATATATATATATATATATATATATATATATATATATATAATTTTTTATATAAATAAAAAAAATATAAATTAAAAAAAAAAAAAAATTAAAAATATATTTATTATTTTGATAGCATATTTATATTATAAATATGATTATTTTATATATTAGTATATATAAATATAAATATAATTTATTTTAATTATTTATTCAAAATTCTAAAATAATAATAATATTATTACTAATTAATATAATTATATATATTTTATTTATAAAATTATATTTTTTTACTTATATTTGTTTATTTTGTTATTTATCTTATTTATTTTATTAATTGTCTATTAAGTTTTTATTTTCTTCTATTTAATTATTTTTATATAGTTCAATATTTATTTATTCATTTTTCTTTTTAATTAGATTATTATAAATTAGAATTACTTTAAGCAATTTTTTTTCTAATTTCATTTTATATTATTATAAAAAAATAAATTATTATATCATCTTTATTATGATATAAGTTTTTTTTTTTTAATTTAATTTTTTATAAAAAAAATTTAAAAAAATTCAAATCAATATTATGACATTTTATAAATATTTTTTTTCTTATTAAAATTTTAAAACTTTATATTACTTATGACAAACTGAACAAAGATTCTCATTTACTGGGTTTCCGTAAAATTTTTAACAATCAAGACACAATTTTGTTTAAGATTATTATTATTATTATTATTATTATTGAGTATTATTATTATTCATTTGTTATTATTTTATTTTATGTTTTTTTTTTTAAGCTTTATTTAATTATTTGAATTTTTTTTTTAATAATTTTAGTATTTTTTTTATTTTTTTCTTTTCTTTAGTATAATTAATATATTATTAGTAAAAACAATAAATATTTTTTGAAATATAAAAAAGATACAATTTAAATAATAATATATATATATATATATACTGAATTAAGTAAAAAATAAAAAAAATATTATATTATATTATCTTATATTATCTCTTTTTTTATTATTTTTTAGATTATATATTTTTATATATATTTATTTTCATATTTATAAACTATTTATAAATTAAAATAAACTAAAAATAAAATACTCTTAAATATTTTTACAATCATTAATTATTTTTTGTTTTTATGTATTTAAATTTTATATTATTAATAAATTATATAATATAATTTAATTTTAAATAATATATAATATATGATAAATTTAATATATAAAGCTTATTATCTTAAAAAATCAAAAAATAATTATATATAAAAAAATATATATTTATTAGCAAATATATATATATATATGTATATATATATATATATACATATAAATAAAACATTTAAATAATAAAATATGTACCTAAATTTGTATAATTTTACATATAAACATAACTATTTTAATCTCAATTTAAATTAAAATTTTAACTTTTATATAAAAATAAAAAAATGATTCCAAAAGATAATAAAACCTACAAACTATAAGAATATTGGGATCAACGTTTTTATAAGAGCAACAATACGACTGGTTAGCCTCATATTAATAAATAAGTTCAATTATCTAAAAGTACATAAAAAAAGAAGATAAAATATTACTTGTAGGTTGTGGTAATTCTATATTAGGTCCTAATATGTACGAAGATGGTTATAATAACATAACATCAAGCGATTTTAGTTAAATAGTAATAAATAAATAAAAAGAGCTTTTTCCGAAAATGAATTGGATAATCAGCAACGTAAAAGATTTAAAAGAATTCGAAAATGAAAGCTTTGATGTAATTTTTGATAAAGCCACTATGGATGCACTTGTAACAGATGAGGGCAGTCAATGGAAGCCAAATCCTGAAACTGTAGAAGATTGCAAGTTGATGTGTAAAAATGTTTTTAGATGTTTAAAAAATGGAGGTTTGTTTATATAAATAACTTTCTAAGATCCATATTTTAGGAAAAAATATATAGAAAATCCGGAATTGGGGTGGAAGGTTTAAAATTATGAAAAAATTGACTTTGGATTGGGTTATCATTTTTTAGTTTTATAGAAAAATTGATTATGTTTATTTTATTTTATTTATTTTAAAAAAAAATAGAGTTATTTTGGACATTTTTTTTTATTTTAGTTTAATATTAATATTTTTTTTTTTTTTTTTTCTAATATAAAAAAAATTTAATAGCTAAATTTTTTAGAAATATTTTTTTTTTTAGTTTTAACTTTTTAACCCTAAAATATAAATAAAAAAAATTATTAAAAATAAAAATAAAAATGTCTTCTTAATAAAAAAATGAAACTTTAGAAAACATAATAGATAAAATAGGTCAAGATTTCCAAGATGTAAAACCTTTATATGATGCATCTTAAAAATTAGGAGTAAAACCTGGTTTATTAGTCTTAGTTTCATTCTTTGCTTGCCTGTTTTTCGTTGTCTTAGGATTTTTGGGTAAATTCTTGACTTCTGTAGTTGGTATTTTATATCCTGGATACATGAGTTTTAAAGCTATAGAAACAAAAGATGATAATGATGATAAATAATGGCTTACATATTGGGTAGTTTTTGGATTTTTACATATATTTGATGCTCCATTAGGTTGGTTATTATCCTTCTTCCCCTTTTATTATCCTTTAAAATTAATGTTCTATATTTTCTTATTTTATCCTAAGACTAAAGGTGCATTAAAGATTTACAATTCATTTTTAAGAGAAAAAATAAGTAAATATCAAAGTTTTATTGATGGATATTTAAAAAAAGATAGCAAATGAAAAAAAAAAAAAAAATATTTTTTATTTTCTATGATATAATTAATATTGTTATACAATATATATCTTTAATTAAAAAGAAATAAAAAAAAAAAAAAATATAAAAAAATTATATAAAAATATATATATATATATATTTAATATATTAATTTTATTTATATATATTTATATATAATTTATATTATTTTCTTTCAAGAATCTTTAAATGCAATACAATTTATAGCCTATTTGTGCCCTTTAAATGTTTTATCACAAGTCTATACTTTTTCTTCTAATCTCCATAATTTAGCTATACCATCACTTGATCCACTTAATAAATAAGATGAATCACATCCATATGCGACATCCCAAACCCATTTTGAGTGCCCATATAATGTTGTTTTAAATTCGAATTTTTTACTTTATTCATTTAAACTCCATAGTTTTATAGTTTTATCAGCACTACAGGTTACCAATTATCTTTTTTTATTTTTTATTTTGTTTACGTTTTGTTTTGTTTTTTTTACTTAACTTATGGAGATATTTAACATTTTAAAATATAATCTTCATGAGCTTAAATTTTTTATACAAATTAAATATTCTTATATATATCGAAATAAAAAATAAAAATATACTTAATATTAATTTACATCATTTTTTATCATATTCCAGATATGAACAAAGCCAGAAGAATCTGCCGCACAAAAAATAGATCCGTTTTAAGCTATAGAAACTGACCTTACACCAATATCAGGTGCTGGAGTCTATATATTATATATTAATATAAAAAATGTATATATAATATTTACAAATTTAACTCGACATTAATCTTTTCTTAAATCCCATATTTTTACATTTCCTTATTAATCTCCTGAAATAATTTAAACTTCATCTGGATGTAATACTGCTTAATTTACAGGTTCTTTACTTTAAAAACATTTAGCATTTCCTTACATATTTAAATCATGTATTTTAATGCATCCGTCTTCTGAACTTGTATAAATCCATTTATTATTTTATTTAAATCCTATAGATGTCACATTACTTTAATATCCTTCATATATATTTTTCTATTTTATTTATAAAAAACTATTTAAAATATATAGTTTTATTAGTTTATATAAAAATATATAAGTTTACAGGTCTTTCTGAAAATTAATTTAAATCATATATATAGGCAGCAAAACTGCCTGCACCTCCTAAATATAATCTATCTTAGGAAACTTCAATTCGATTTATTAAGAATGAATTTTTTGATATTTATGCTTAATTTTATTTCTTATTTTATGAATATTCAACACTTGCTATTTATTTCTAATTTAAAGGATTCCATAATCTTATTGTATGATCATAAGACCCTGTAGCTATAATTACATTAATTTAATTCATTTTAAAATTTAATTTTTTAAAATATTTATATATATATATATATATATATATATATTTAATATATATCTTATTTATAATTTTTTTTTCATTTATTTTTTGAAAAACAATTAAATACTAATAATATAAATGAATAATTAATAATTAATATACTATAGGATTTTCTTTCTTTTATTATGTTTTTTATAAAATATGTATTAAAAATATATTATAATAATAGATATAAAAATATATATAAAAAAATATTTTAATTTTTTGTTATGTTATGTTTTTAGTTTTTTAAATAAATCAAAAAAAATAAAAAAGAAAAATAAAAAGTATATTATTATTATTAAATAATTTTAAAAAAGAAAATATATGTTTATTATAGTAAGTTTTAAAAAAATTAATAAAAATAATAAAAATTATAACATAAATTAGTAATTATACAATTATAAGAATAAAATTTTGCATAATAAAATTATAATAATATTTTAAATATTTAATTATTTTATTAAAAGTTTTTTTAAAAAAAAGATATATAAATTAAGGTTATAAATAACTCTAAAAAAAAAAAATTTTTTAAATATTTATATATATATGTTTATATATAATAAATATATAAATATATACATATATATATATATATATATATAATAATATTAGATTAAAATTCTTTTAGATAAAAAACATAACAAATATAAAATAATAATTTCTATTAAATGGGTTTTTATCTTTTTTATCATATTATTTGTTTTTAATTCATTTGAAAAAGTAATTTTTATCTACTTTATCCTTTGTTTATATATGAAATATAATAAAAATATTTAGTTATAAATTAAATTACGAACTCATCAAAAATTGATTAGAATTAAGAGTCATAATTAAGAGAAGTATAAATCATATGAGCATAATATCCAATATCATCTCTAACCTAATAAAAAAAAAAAATATTAAAATTATATGTATATATTAATACTTTATCTTGCCATAAAGGATAATCTTTTAAATTATTCATAAGATTAACATATTTATGTAAAGAATCTTTTATATCAGATTCTATCATTTAATGTGTATGCTTTACAATTATAAAAAAATTATTTTATTTAATAAATAAAAATTATTATTTATATATTAATATTTATATATATATATATTATTACTTCATGTTTGTTATGGAAGTTAGATGTAGCTACATTTCTTGAAAGTTCTAGATAAATAGTTTTTAATTCCCAATAAAAATCACTTAAATTTTAAATTAGTTTAGAAAGTTCTTAATATTCCTAAAGAAGTTATTTGGATTCATTAAATTTTTAAAGTTCATTTTTTCCAGAAAATGCTGAAGCAGGTACATTGTAATTTTATGCAACTATACTATAGAAATTAAGTTCCTTTATTTTATTTTTTATTAAAAAAATAAAAAGAATAAATTATAAAAATATTATATTAATCTATATTATTTACATTATATTTCATAGAATTATTCTTTAAGAAATATTCATCTGGGTTTTCAAGATCGGATTTGACCATTTATGCCATTACTCTTTTTGATTAGACTATTTTAAAATTTTATAAATATAATTTCTTTATGTTTAAAATAATAAAATTTATAAACTAAATTATAATATATTAAATTAATATATATGCTTGATAAATATTTATAGTTTTTAATAGTTTTTATTTAGTTTTACAGGCTGTATTAATTATTCTTGATTTAAGAAATGTATTTCTAAAAAATGAAAGAGACATTTTTTTTTATTTTATTTTAATTAAAAAAATTATATATATTATTATTTTTAATAAATAATTTTTTTATTTGAAATATTTTTATATTTTATTTTATAAACTATATTAAAAATAAATAATTTTTGATTATTTATATAATAAAATAAAAATAATTTTTTTTAATTAATTAATTATATAAAATATATCTTTGATAATTTTTAAATAATTTTAAAATGAAATAAATTTATAATTAAATTGTTTATTTTAAGAAAAAAATATTTATTATTAATTAATTAAATTTAATTTAATTTAATTTAATTTAATTTAATTTAATTTAATTTAATTTAATTTAATTTTATCTAACAAATTTTTTTTTATTTTTATTTTATTTTTCTTTTATTATCAATTTTTTCTAAATACAATATTATACAATTAATATATTCATAAATAATATTATTATATTAAAAGATATTTATAATAAAAATTTAGTGGACAATTTAAAAAATAAAAAAATTTTAAGAAAAAAATATAAAAAATAAATATATTTAAATATAAAATTATATTATAAAACCATAAAAATATAAAAAAATATGAAAAAATTATTATTTTTATCTTTATTATTAATATTTTTAACAAATTCTTTTAGTTACAGAATATCAAATACTATTACATAATAAAATACTTATTATTAAAATAGATATTTAAGAATTTTTGATGATAACTATAAATAACCTATTTTAGATTAAGATAAATAATAAGATATTTAAAATAGATTTTTAGATTAAGACGATGATAATTAGGAATAAAATGATGTCAAAAATGACTAACTTGAAAATTAAAACAAATAAACAGATTAATAACAATAATAAAATGATTAATAAGATCATGAAGAATAAAAAGGTAAACAAGAAAATGAAGAAGAAATGAAGAAAAAATAAGAAGAAGAACAAAAGAAAAAACAAGAAGAAGAATAAAAGAAAAAACAAGAAGAAGAATAAAAGAAAAAATAAGAAGAAGAACAAAAGAAAAAAGAAGAAGAAGAAAAAAAGAAAAAAGAAGAAAAAGAATAAAAGAAAAAATAAGAAGAAGAACAAAAGAAAAAAGAAGAAGAAGAAAAAAAGAAAAAACAAGAAAAAGAATAAAAGAAAAAATAAGAAGAAGAATAAAAAAAAAAACAAGAAGAAGAATAAAAAAAAAAACAAGAAGAAGAATAAAAGAAAAAACAAGAAGAAGAATAAAAGAAAAAACAAGAAGAAGAATAAAAGAAAAAATAAGAAGAAGAATTTAAGAAAAAATAAGAAGAAGAACAAAAGAAAAAAGAAGAAGAAGAAAAAAAGAAAAAACAAGAAAAAGAATAAAAGAAAAAATAAGAAGAAGAATAAAAAAAAAAACAAGAAGAAGAATAAAAAAAAAAACAAGAAGAAGAATAAAAGAAAAAACAAGAAGAGGAATAAAAGAAAAAATAATAAGAAGAAGAATAAAAGAAAAAACAAGAAGAAGAATAAAAGAAAAAATAAGAAGAAGAACAAAAGAAAAAAGAAGAAGAAGAAAAAAAGAAAAAAGAAGAAGAATTTAAAAAAAAAAGAAAAGAAAAACAAGAAAAAAAAAAAAAAGAAAGAGAAGAAAGAAAAAAAAAAGCTTAATAAAAAAAGCAACAAGAAGAAGAACTAAAAAAATAAAAATAAAAAGAAGCCTAATAAAACCAAGATGAAAAATTAGAAGAAGAATAAATTGAATAAAATGATGAATAAGAAGATAAAGAATAATAATAAAAAAAAGACTAAAATGAAGAACAATCAGAAGACAAAGATCAATCAGATGAAGAAGTCTAAACTGAAGACAAAGAAGAGGATGAAGAAAAAGAAGAAGAAGAAAAATAAACCGATGATAAAGATTAATAATCTAAAAATCCTCCGAAAGAAAGTGAATAGTATTAAATGAAATCTAAAGAAATCTATTTAAACAATAATTAGAAAATAATAGGAAAAATCGAAACTTAAGTTCTATACTAGCCAGTTTCCTTTTTTTATTTTGACACTGAAGATAATTAAGGCTTTAACTATAATATACCCCTTACAATAATTGTTTCTGGAAAAGAAGACTTTTTACATTCTCCTGCTTTATTTATTTCTTTTCAAGAAGAATATCCTAACGGATATAACCAAAGTGATACTGTATGTGGTTTTTAAGGCTAAGATTTTTGTTCATTTTAACTAGAGTAAACATAAAAGAGGATCTATATGGGAATTTTCTGCTAAAGCAAATGTGTATTCAATATCTAGATATTCCAAGAAGCCCCTGATAAATTATTTATAGACGAATACACAATGCTAAGAGCTGATAAAGACACCTCAACTGAAAAAATCATATACTTAAATATACCAGATGACCATTTCCCCATCAGTCACTTATTAATAGAGGCTTATATACTAAACCCGACTGAAATAAACTCTCCTATCCGTCTTTATGTAAAGGAAGGTTTAGTAGCCATTCCTAATCCATCTGATTTCGACTTTTATGCTGAAGAAATAATGTTAAATGGCCAAAGTGTATTAATAGAGGCTAATTAAAACCAAGAATATATAACATAGAAAAATTATGTAATTTCCTTATATTTACCTAAACAAGCTATTGTGAGTTTTCAAACTGAATCTTTTTATAAAATAAGAAAAATTCATCTTTTTTAAGACCTCTCCGATATGGTTGATGCAGAGCAGGTACGTATTTTCAAGCTTATTTTAGATGATTATTCCTTAAGTTTAATAAATGAGAAAAATAACCAAAAAGATATGCAAATTTCCTTCGAACTAGACCCTTTTTAGGGAAATCCGGACCTATATATAACATTTAACGAATTACCAGATAATCCATCTGACACATCCTAATATAAATGGTCTTCAGTTTAAAAAGAGGGTACAGAAAGTCTCAGTTTATCCCCATCTTTAGTTAAGAAGGAAAGCTTTGACATCAATGATGTCTTTTATTTGATTGTATATGGGTAATCGGCTGCTTCTTTTGTTATTTATAATTATATTTCTACTTTTGAAGACCGTGCTTTATTATTTGATTATCCTGAGAACGGCTATTTAGAATAGAATGACTTTGTAAACTACAGTTTGACGTTAAAATATGAAATGTAGGATGAATTTTAGGCCACCTTTCTCCTAATAGGTTCTAATTTAGAATTTTACATAAAAATATGTGATAACAGTAATGAATAGTGTGTTATAAATGACTAAAATGCCGACTAAATAAACCTAAAAAGTACCGAATAGAGCAAAAAAGAGCACAAAATTTAAATTACGATAAAAAAAAAAGACTTTTTCGACTAAAAAAAAGTCTAAAAACGTTTTATTACAGTAGGTATAAAAGCAATTAAAAATACTTAATTTAAACTTTTTGCAAAACACCCATTTTCATATATAAAACTAAAAGAAAATACAAACTATAGAAGTGCACTAGAACAAGGACATGCTGAATACTATAAGTTTTCTATAAAAAAAAATTCGAAAGATAATATTTATAAAATAGTATTCTCATATATAACTATTTCTGGCTAAATATCAGTCTTTTCTTCCAAAAAAACACCCTATCCTGATAATGAAGATACTGTTTTTGCTTATGATATAAACCAAGATTAAATAGTGTATTAATAAACTAATGAAAACGAAGAAAATTAAGATATGAAGGGGACTTATTATTTATCGGTAAAGGCTTACGCATCTTCTATATATTAAATACATGTGAAGGTTTATAGAAAAAAAAAGGAAGATAAAAAAATAACATCTGAACCTAAATATATAGACTTTGGTAATGTAGAAAAAGGTTATATATAATACGGAATCGATGAAGTATTCTATTTTGAGCCTTAAACATCCATTTTGGAAATGCAACTAAGCTTATTTTACAGCACTTATATTTAAAATAAAAGTACATTCACAAGAGGTTTACGTCCGGAAATTATTTTATAGTAATTTTAAAATACGACATCAAATGATGAAGAAGAGACTTCTCCTTTAATAATTGAAAATGAAAAAGAGGATTTTCAAGCCCAAAATTTTATTTTATATAAATATAAAATTAAATATTAGTCAAATATTTGGTATTAAATAACCTTGAAACATGATAGTTAAAATTATCAACAATATCAAATTAAATATGAATTGAATATAAATTCATAAGAAATTAGCTATATAATTCCATAAGGTAATTATATATAAGAACTAGCCTTTAAAAATATGCAAACATATGAGTTTTATATGAATTCTCCTTCTTAATTCTACTTGGAAGTTTTCGAATGTTTAGGAAGCGTTAACATTTAAGCTTCTGATTCTATATGGAATACACTAGATAAAAAATTCAATATAAATTAAAATTTATCTTAAATAATAGGAGATCATTAAATTATTAATTACGATTTATAATAACAAGGTCCTTTATATTTATCTGTAATTAGTGAAAATTAAGCACTATATATGTTTGTTCCCCATCTTATACCAAGAGATTAAATTATTCCTCATTAAGTTTATTCGACTCCATCTGAAACATCAATAGAAATATAGATATACGAGAAAAAGAAAAATGATAATAAAAAAAAAAATGAAAATAATAATGATAATAATAAAAACAACAATGAAAATAATAATAATAATAATAATAAAGATAATGATAATGATAATGATAATGATAATAATAATGATAATGATAATGATAATGATAATGATAATGATAATGATAATGAAAATAATAATAATAAAGATAATAATAATAATAATAATAATAATAATAATAATAATAATAATAATAATAATAATAATAATAATAATGGAAATAATGATAATTAAAATCAAAATAATAATAATAATAATAAAAAAAATCTATAAATTACTTTTGGTACTATTTAATGTGCTAATGGATGCATAGATAGTATTTATGAGGCTAAAGAATATTAATATAATATATATATTACTAATTAATAATAGTTATTACCTTATTTTGCCAAATGTGGTTTAGATAATCTTAGTACAGATATTCGTTATGAAGAATTTAAGAATTTGAATTTTGAAGATATTTATTTATAAAAAGCAACCTATGTATATACGAGTTAATAACCTCTTAAGCATACTTTTTTGATTGAAGATATACCTGATAATGATGATTATTATATATAAATTGCTGGTATTTTATACTTATAAGTTGATTAAGAAGATTAAGAATATTATGAGTCTTTTACTTTTATTTACCCTCCAAAAAAATACTCTCTTAAATAATAAATTATTTAAAATATAATAAATTTAGAAAATTAAGATATTTTTAAAATTATATATATAATACCTGAATGGGCTGCTATTTCAATAGGAGCTTTCATTTCTATTGTGATTATTTTATGTCTATATAAGTAAATTAAAATGTTTGTCATTAGAAGAAGATATAGATTGGCAATGGAAAGCAATTAAGACGATAATTAAAAAGATTAAATTGAGGATGCATAAAACGAAGATGAGAATGTTATTAATGAATATGAAGATAACGAAAAGAAAAACGAAAAAAAAAAAATAATATTAACAACAAGTAATTGAATATTTATAAAAATATTTATTTAGTAATTATTTTAGAAATAAATATATTATAATATATATATAAATAAAAAAAATTATATATAAATATATATATATTTATATATATATTTATATATATATATATATTTATATATATATATATACTATATTTTAATAAATTTCATCTATAATATTTATTTAACCCCAATGGTTATTAATAATAATTTTTTTAAATATCCATTCTAGAATTATTGTAGTTTGGATGATTCTACATCTATACACCAGATTAAAATTCTATATAATACTCAGGTGTTTAAAAACTTTTATTGCATCTTTCTGAATATTCTTATTCACTTCTAGCTTCTGTAACTTTAGTTAATTTTTCGAAATTATTATTGTTTATAGTATTATTTAAATATAATTTTGAATCATTTTATTTTTGATTAATATTTTTTTAGGTAATGATTCCATTTTATGCTAAAATTGATTCATAATATTTTTATTATTATTAAAGTTATTTTTAATAATTCTCTTTTTGTTCTTTTAAAATATCATATTGGCAAAAATCATAATCTTTAAATTTACTTTTTCTTTCATAGAAAATTTCAGAACTATTATTTTAAATATTATTGTTTTCATTATTTTAATTATTATCATTATTTACATCTTATTATTATTATTATTATTATTATTATTATTATTATTATTATTATTATTATTATTATTATTTTTCAATTTAAAATCCATATTTTTTAACTAAATCTTAATTTGAAGGTGGTGAATAAATCTATTGATCGCCATCGCCATCGATTTCGAATTCCTGTTTTTTATAATTTTTATTTTCAATTTCTTAAATATCATCTTCTATATTTTCATTTATATCTTTTAATTATTAAATTCTTTTCTTAATAGATTCATCAATCTTATTAGATCCTCTTTCCTTTAATATTTAATTAAACTTTTCTTATTTCTATGATAAAATACTCTTAACTTGTTAACTTTAATTGTTCTTAATATCAATAATCTTGTCTAAATCTTCTTCATCAATCCTTCTATATACAAGTGTTTCTCCTCCATCCTATTCCACTTTTATCTTTTCAATTGTAGTAATTCTTTTAAACCCATATTTATTATCTAAAAAATCATCTATAGGCGGATTAAAAAGCATTTACCTTTCCCCTTCTTAAGCACAATCCAAACATTGATTTTCATATAAAAACTAATTAGCACTCAATTTAGATTTTTAATTTAAATTTTTTTCTGTTTACTCTTTAAAATGTTAAATATCAGAATTTGGACCCATTAGAAATCTTTAATAAAGCTTTGATTATAAATCATTTGCAAGTTTTTTTTTTGAATTATTTTTCATTTTTAACATTTCTTCATTTAAATCCTATATACCTATTTTTTTTTTTAAACTTTTAAAGACTACGGTTTTTTATCTTTATCTTTATAATTATATTTTTCTTGAATTTATTCTTCTTTAGGTGCTTTTAATATTCTTGAATGCGTGTTAGAATATTACATTGTTTATTCATAATCATTATCTAATGTTTATATTAAATATTTAAATATAAATATATATATTTTTTTTTTATTTTTTTTATATTTTAGTATATATATTATTTATTATTTTACCATTATATTCTTTCATATTTACGAATTATTAATATGTATTTTTAAATTAATTCTCTTTTCCTTACTTATCATATTTATTTTTAACTTTCTAGCTTATTTTTATAGGATAATATTAATTTTCTAAGGGATCCCAAACATCTTATATTACTTCTTCTAATACTTGATTATTATCTATAGGAATGTATTGAACCCATCTTCTTATATTATTATAATTGCATACATCATTTAATATAGGAGGATCGGGTCTATAAGGATCTGTTATAAAATTATAATAAGAAGGCTTATCTTCGCATTATAAACAATTAGTCCCTTATGGATATGAATGACTTTGTCCAATAGGTAATTTTTCTTCAGGTTCATGGCTTATATAAGGATTTAATTGATATTTTTTTGAAAAATGCTCAAATAAACTCATATAGTGATTTTTGTTATATCTGTAATATTCTTTGGGGAGAGTCGCGTTTATTTTTTTAAATGAGGTGAATAAAATGGAAGTGTTATGTTAGTTTATATCTATTCATCTAATTCTTTTATTTTTTATTTTATTTTTAAAGAATAATTTTAATATTCTTGTTCTACAGAATTACTTATCATTTTATTTTATTATTTAAAATTTATATAATATGATTTGAAAAATAATTATTATTAAAGGATTTTTGTATAAATATATATTTATTTTTTTTAAAAAAATATTTAATTTATTTTTGATAATTAAAATATATTAATTTTATAAAAAATAATTAAAATATTTATTTAAATAAAATAAAGTTTTATTTTTTAATATAATGTGAAATAATTTTTTTATTTATATATAAAAATAATATATATATATATATATAAATATTAAAAAAATATATATATTTTTTTAAAATATTATTTATATATAAATTATTTTTAATAATATTATATTACCAAAATACCAAAAAAAAAAAATATAGGAAATAATAATAAATAATTATATTTATATATAATTTAATTTATAATGATTCTGAAAAAATTTTATTTATTAAAAATATTTTTATTTTCATTAAATGATTCCTAAAACAATATCATCTCTAAATTCACAATGATGAACAATTCCATTTGATTTAATAAATTCCTATATTTTTATTTATAAAATAAAGAAAAAATAAAAAAATTACTCCTTAACCATTCATTTTATCATTAACCCATTCTCCAATATATTTTTCTCCATTAATCCAACTATAAATTCCTTTTCCGTGTCTTTTTCCATAAAGCCATTATCCTTCATATTTATCTCCACTTACGAATTAATATACTCCTTATCCTCCTTTATCTCCTTCTTTCCATTCTCCTTAATACTAATCTCCATTTGACATATATAAATTTCCAAAGCCTTATCTTCTATCATTCAACCAATCTCCTAAATTAAATTTATTTATTTTATTTTTAAAAAATGTTATGAATACAAACCTTCATATTTATCTCCATTAGCAAAAAAATAAATTCCTTTTCCACTTTTTTATCCATATTTAAAATCTCCTTAATATCTATCACCATTAATATACATATGTATACCAGTTCCATTTTTATAATCATTAATCCAATTTCCTTCATATTTACTACCATCTCTAAAAAAATAAATACCTTATCCATGCTTAGACCCATTAAGCCACTGATTGAAAATTAATAATATATATTAATAAATAAATATATAAATATATATATATATATATATATATATATATATCTCTATAAATTATTTTTTATATACTTCCCCATCATATTTATCGTTATTAGCATAATACATAATTCCTCTTCCGTTTGCCTTATCTTATTTCCATTAACCATCATATTTAGCTCCTGAAGAGTAAGTAAGTATTCCTTTTCCATTTTTAATTCCATTTTCCCATTATCCTTCATATTTTTCATCAAATTGATAATAATAAGTTCCTTTACCATATCTTTCTCCATTTTTCCATTCTCCTTCATATTTTTCTCCTGTTTAAAAGTAACTGTATTAACCGAATCCATTTTTCATATTATTTTCCCAATTACCTTTATAAATATTGCCATTTGCATAATTATAAATTCCTTGTCCATTAATATGTCCATTTTTTAATTACCCTTAATAAACATCTTCATTTTTGAATAAATATAAACCTTCTCCATCCATATAATCCATCTTCCAATCTCCAAAATATTTATCTCCATTCTAAAAAATATTCACCCCTTTTCCATTTCTTAAGTTATTTTGCATTTGACCGATATATGTACTTCCATCTTTATGAATCTATTGGGTATAATTTTAGTTGTCTATGTATTTTTATTAGAATTCTTATATTTATTAGTCCTTAATTATAGTAGGAAGTGCTTAAGGCTTTTAAATTTCGATTATAGAACGCTTTTAAGACATCATAAAATCATTCCTATTTTGTGAATTATTTAAAAGATAATTATAACTGTTATTTAAAGATAACTATTTTTTTTGTTTTTTTTTATAAATTTATCTATATAAGTTATTTATGTTATTTTTTTTTTTAGGGTTGATCCTTATTTTTTATTTTTTTGTATTAATTATTTTTATTATTTTTTATTTTATTTTTCTTTTCTTTCTTTATATATTTTTATTTATTTTATTTACTAATGAATATAATAAATATTTATTATTGTTATATATTTTTAAAAAATTAATAAATAAATTTAAATCAAAATTTTATTATTTATTATTTTATATGTTTTAAATTATATATATTTTTACAAAAAATATTTTCTAAAATAAAGCAAAAATATATAAATAAAATTTATCAAGAGTACAAAAATATTAAAATAAAAAATTAATTGTTTATACAGATTTATTTATAATTGAATTTGTCTATTTTGTATTAAAAATTTTTTATTAATAAATAAAATTAAAAATATTTAATTTTAAGTTATTATTTAATGAATATGTTAATATATTATTAAATAAATTTATATATATCAATATAAATTATAAATATTTAATATATTTCTATAAGTTATTATTATTTATTTAATATAATATTTAAAAAATAAATAAAATTAAGTTATATATTTCATAAATATATCATTGATAATTTAATATAATAAAAAAACCAATACAATAAAATAATATAAAATTTTTATTCTATAAATATTATTGCATTATTTTTGTATTATTATATATTATTAAAACTATGCTTTTATACTAATTAAATCTTAAACAAACAAAAAATTATGTATATTGTATTGACATTATTAATCTATTAAATAATTTATTAATTTAATATAAAATCTTTAATTATTTTATATAGAAATCAAATAAATAAATAATAATAATTTAATTTTTTGTTATAATAAATAATTAAAGTATAATATAAGTATGCAATCTTTTATCAATAATTGCTATTTTATAAATTTCAATATGCCAATATTATATATATTGAATTCAAAATATTTTAATAATAAAACAAAATAAATTAATATTTTTACTATTACTATTTATTTTTTAAACATATATTTATTAATAACCTATTTATTTTAATATTAGAAGTATTATTAGAAAAAAATAATACTTATCTAAATTTTTATTTATTTATTTAAATAATAAAAATATTCTTTTCATATTAAGATTTTATATATTGATTTTATATTATAATATATGTTAAAAAATATAATTATCAATTTTTAATAAATTAGTAATTTTTATTTAAAAAAAAAAAAACTAAAAAATATCTAAAAAAAAAAAAAAAAAAAAAAAAAATTTGACAGACAATATATTAAATATTATCTAATTTAAATATAATAAATATATAATTTTTTTATTTTACAAATATTAAAAATCAATTGATTTTTTTTTTCCTATTTTTAAGTATTTTCATTTGTTTCTTTAATATGTTAGGATTATTTTAACTTTCATATAAAATGTCTAGTAATTTAACATATTATTATTTTTCTTTTAAATCTCTACTTTCAATCCATTCTTTTACATGATTTTACAAATAAAAGTTAAATATCTCACTAAATTTTTAATTGTACATCAATTTGTGAAAATTCTTATGATTAGGCGATTTAAATTTACAATATCTTATAAGTTTTTTCCTTAAAAGTATCGGATCATTAGAATTTGCATAGAAGGGTATTTTTTAAATAAGGGTAGTATCATCAACAATATATTTAGACCATTTAATAAAATTGCTAATAATATTTTTAACAATATTTCCTTTTCTTAAGACTTTTTGGTTATCATTATATTCTTTTTTTCTAATTATTCCTATTTTATAATTATAGCTTTAGATTTTTTGATATCTTAGTTATTTTATATAATTTATTTTTATAAATAAAATTAATCTTTATATTATTATTATTCTTAATATTATATATTTTTGGTTAATTTAATTGCCTATTTTCTAATATTTTTAGTTTATTAAATTAATTATTTTTATTCATTCTAAAATACATCAAAATTTTAATAATCTTTATAGAATTTAATAAATATATATATATATATATATATATATATATATATATATTATATATATTATTATTATTATATTATTATTTATTTTAATTTTAATTATTATATATATATTATTAATTAATTATTTA